GAACTTTGGTGGAGCAGTTTTTTTACGTAGCTAAGGAACACGGCTATGTGATTTTTACAAATCATGATTCGGATGTGTCGAGTAATATTTTCTTGGCACATCCAGTATCTGTATAGATGCTCAACGTCTACAGGCGGTACATTGGTATGAATACTACTTACGGAACAAACAGGTATAAGATGTCACTGTTCTAAATGATTGGGATGACTCCAACCAATAAGAATTTCGTGATTGCATATGCAATTATGAAGGATGAAATGAGTAAGAGCTATGATTGGGTGATGGAGTAGTTGCGAAATTTGATTGGGTGAGAAGTGCATCCTACAGACAGGGAGTTGGGACTGGTAGGTCCAATCAGTAAGTGGTTTCCAGAGTCTGCACATCTTCTGCGCATGTGGCACATCGACAGATGTGTTGTGGCACACGCAAATAGTTATTGTGGTAGCGAATTCGCAAAATGGTGGATGAACAATGTATTCAGAGAGATACTTCTAGCTCCTACTCAGTATGAACATGCAATGGCTGTGTTGGGGATGAAGGCGTACAGGCACTCAAATGCTGAAAGTTATGGACAGTTGGTGAAGTATGTCGACGACACTTGGTTAGTTCACAAGAAGAAGTAAGCTCATGCGTGGACAAATGAGGTGACACACTTGGGGAACACAGTAATTGTAGGGTGGAGGTCGCTCATAGTACCTTGAAGCAGTTTCTTGAGACGTCAAACCTGGGACTAGATACAATGTGGATCAAAATCCACCATGGGATCGAGCATGCTTTCACTGAGATCAGGTACATTATATTATTGTGTTTTTTCTTTCACTTCGTATTACCAATAGTATTATCAATAGTATTAGATTAACAATGAGGATTTTCAATTGCAGGTTCAGTCTAGGGATGTCGGTGCGCCGTTCGAAGCGATCCCACCTTCAGTTTCCCTATGATAGTATAGTTAAACGTGTCTCACATTACTGCCTGGACATCCTTGATAGGAGTTTGCTCGCATGCATGAACTGGGTGAAGATGTTTACCAAAGTTGTGGTTGTGCTTTGAAAAAAACTCATGGAATCCCTTGTGCATGTAAGCTTAAACGGATAGTTGAAGAGCGGTTGCCCCTTGAAATAGCTGACATCCAACCTTTTGGAGCAGACTTGATTATACAAGAAACTTGCCTGATTCGGCCCCTGATGATAATGATTCTGATGATGATGCTGATATTGCTGATGATGAACAGATGAACAGAAGATTTTTTCAGGTCTTACGGATGTGGCGTATAACAAGAAACCTGCTGTTTTGAGGTGCATCAATGTGTTCTTGCAACATGTAAATGACTCTGAGCATATGAGCTATGAGCAACCAAAGGTGAAGACGAGTGTTAAAGGTCGTCCGAAACTTAAGAAGTGGATACCTTGTTTTTGGGAAAAGCATTAGATAGGAAATGGACAATCTCGCATGAGTACTTCATCACAGAAGGACACGCCTTCATCGAGTCCATAAGGCAACAATGTCACCTACACAAAAAACATAAGAAATGTTAACAACGATATTTTCCATAATAATTCATAATCAAGATTGCTAAATGTGACATACATCCGTGGCTGTCAGGCCATCGGTCTCTCCCGAAGCCTCTTCAGACACTCTGTGCTATTATTAGGACCTGGGACATCCCACCATCAAGCTCGGGGCATTGCAGGATCCCCTGAGGCATGGTCCCCACCTGGTCTGAAGCGTGGAAAGTATTCATATATCCATGCCTGAATGAGTGTGAATCACCTGGACATGCCAAGCTAGCAATAAAGATAGGCTCGAGTAGCAGAGCCCCACCGAAAGCTCGTGACAAGTGGCTAGGTCATCAATAATCTCTGAGAGAATCGCCACTCTAATCTGAGTCCCGCTCCAATCCGTAAACAACGTGTTCCCTAACATGAGCCATAACCAGGCAATCGCCTGATCTCGAGCAGACCGACCAATACGACAATACTGTAGGACTTCCTTCCCTTGAATCCTCCCACCCTGATATGCTTTACTAGGGACTAGATCCTCAACAGGCACTAACAACATTCTCATGGCCAAATTATGACAATCACTCACCTCAGGCTGTGCTGTAATCAAGCTACCATCAAGGGGATTGCCCAATATCCGTCACACATCGTGCAACATGATGGTCATCTCTCCAAGAGGCACGTGGACCGTATTGATGTCCGTCTGTCACCTCTCCACAAATGCTGTAATGAGTGCCTTATCAATGTTATTGTGCATGATGCCCGCAATGTGGGATAACCCTGTATGCTCCAACAAGTTTTTCCCCTCTGGCCCCGTACCATCCTTCCAATCTTTCAATTTCTTGAAGTATGTGATTCTTGTATCTATTTCTAAGGGGCATTTACACGAGTCTTCTGTCAAGAGAGTGGCCACACGCCCAGGAAAACTGAGAATAACAGAATCATCCTGAGGGCCACCCCTAACTGGCCCCGTCACAATCCAATTGCCGGCACTGCTCACTAAAATTATTAAAAATAAATCATACATTTTTTTCCAAAATATTTGAAAAAAAATTATAATATGTTTTAAAAAATAAATATTATACCTGATGATGATGATGATGCAGCCGCAGACTTACTGCCGCCATGACGAACAGTAAGGCTGGTCTAACTGATGGGGGAGGTCTAATTGGAGGTGGAGATGGATGTGTGTCATCTTCGAAATGATCATACCCATCCGAGTCGAAATTCTCGAATGGAATATTTTCTTCGTCAATGACATTCTCCCAGTACAGACTAGTCTGATCAAATACCTCGTCAAGCCTGCATGGACCAGACCCAACCATCAATATAGAATCAGGTATAACTGGTCTTTTCGGTTTTTTTTTTTCAACCTACATTATTTAATATATAACTACACTATTACTATAATTCACATAAAAATTAATATAACACATAAATTAAACATATGCTCAAATAATAATAACATCTTTAAATTATAACCTATTTAAAATATTGCTAAAATAATTATAAAACATAAATTAAAACATGCTCTAATGTTTTAAAATATAACAACTCATTTAAAACTACGGTAAAAAATTCCAATAATTATAATATCTTTAAATTATAACCTATTTAAATTATTAGTACAATAATTATAATACATAAATTAAAAGATGCCATAATAATTATTAAAAATATAACAACTAATATAATTAAAACTATATTATTTTTAAAATTCTAATTTATACTTCTTATTCAAATTTATTTAAATTATAATAACATGAACACCAATAAATAAAATATAATCAATAATATATAACAAAATATAATTAAAAATAATTTTTGGAAAATAAAAATAAATAAATTAAATATAACAAAAATTATAACAAACACAATATTACAAAAAAAAATAAAAAAAATTTACTCAGGGGTAGCCGGCGTCGGACCGGCTACCCCTGGTTGGGTAACCCCGACAGGATCGGCTACCCGGGGGGAAGATAGCAAATTTGAATTTTTTGATAACAATTTTTTTTTTTTTTATAAAAAAAACCTACCGGTGCACAGGGCGAGCTTTCCCGACGTTGTTTGCCTCGATCCGTCATTTTTTTGGCTTCCGAATCTTTGTAGATCTAAGGAGGCGCTTGGTTCATGGATTTCAAATACTTGGAATGAAGTTTTTAGATTTGAAACCCAATTTTGATTGCTTGGTTCAAATATTGAGAATATTTCGGGCCCACTAAATTGGGTTTGAAAGGCATAGAACCATTCCCAACTCATTTGGTGGATATGACTTGTCAATTGGTTTTTCCCCTTCTTTGCCCGCTTCCCTTTCTCGCTTTCTCCTCCGTCTCCAACTTCAATCTTCTCTTTTCTTTTCTTTTTTTTTCTCTTCACTCTCACCACCATCAACAACAACCGATTTCTTCCCGATATTCTCTACGCCACCTTCATCAACAACAACAATCGTAATCAACAACAACCAATTCTATCCATTATCAAAAATTCTTCCCGATCCTCTCTCCGCCCGTCAAAATATCATGGATTTGCCTCTCTTTTCTTCTTCTTTCTCAACCAAATTCATTCCTTTTTTTTTCGAACTGACATAAGACAGCAAGAATGTATTCTTTAATGGGCATATCTAGTAAAAATTTTTTTTCTAATTTGGGGTGTAAGAAGTATCGAAAAAATAAAAAATTTTCATAGATCTAGTTTTCTCCAAAACAAAAATTCAAGAATGTAATTTGATTTCTGCGGGGGAGGGGGAGGGGGAATCGAGATGTGGCAGCAGCTGTTAATAGAGTAGGAGAAGAGTGAAGCAATGTAGGAGGAGAAAGAGGGGAGGTGGTGGTTTGGTGCGACTGGCGGCTATGGCAAAAGATTGAAGTAAGAAATGTATAAAAGAAATAAAAGGTAGAAGATAAGGACATAAATGATATTTAACAAGCATTCCCATCTAATCATTTTCTGTAACCAAGTACTACTAATGAATCTAAGATGATTCAAAGTATTCCAATGCATTCCTTTGCATTCCAAGGTTTCATTCCACATCCGTGAACTAAGTTTTAAGATTGGAGTTTTGGGTTTAAATATGAAGAAGAAGAAGAAAGGAGAAGAAGGAGGAAGGAGGAAAAGGAGGAAGGAAGGGGAAGGAAATGAGGGAAAAGGTCAATGTAGATGAGTAATTTTTTCAACTGTAAAAAGCAATTCAGAATAAATAATGCTAACAACTTTTCATTTAGTTTTAGTTATAGTTCCAAAACAGTTAATGAAAGGCAAAATAAACATTTAACACACAAATTAATCGTTAAATGATTGTCTCCTTAGTTTACGTGTGGGGACTAAAAAAACTTACATTTGAAATGGAGGGAGTAGTTGATTGAGAATGTGATTTTTGAATAATTTGTTTTATATTATTAATTATTTTAAAGACCTGGATTTACGTTCAATTTCAATTTAATCCTTAAGTTTTCATTCTCTTCCATAAGTTGCCCGTTAATTCTAATTCTACGTCTCAAACCAGCAGAATTCGGGTCCCAAAATTTCCCCAAATCAGAAGAACCGAAACCCCATTATTCTTACACATACAGTCAACCAGTGAAGCAAACGGAAGAAGAACAATGGTGAGAGAGGTCTCAGAGAGTTGCGTTGAAAGTCTATTGACAGAGATTGTCTCTTCCTATTGCACTGGTTTCTACGCTAACAAGCCCGAATTGGCTGCCCGACGGATCGAAGCCATTGGCTTCCAGGTTGGCCACCAGCTCTCCGAAAGGTACTTGAACACAATGATATCGAAATTCTTTGAGGTTGTAATTTGTGTTTGTATTGGCAGTCGTTGTTCTGTATGTGTCGATGCAGCTTGATAGCTTTGTTTCTAGTAAATTATGATTTGTTCATCTTTGGGAGGCTTCAGTGATTAATTTTATATTTGAGTAGGGAATTCTGTTCGAATTGTTTTGTGTTTTGCTATACGTGCTAAGAATTTGGTAAATTTGTGCTGTCTTTGTTGATCTGTTGTTGGTTATCTATGTGATCCACTGATTTGAATATTTCATCATAAATTATTAGGGACCAATTTGCTGAGTTCTTTGTCAATTTTTGTTTCTTGGTGTAACAGAATAGGCAGGAATATGTGCTATGAAGCATTTCTATGGGTTGTCTCGAGTCTTATTTCCCTTTGTTTGGTTTTTGGACATGGTTTTACTCAAACCAGTTTTCTGGTCCCTTTAGAGACTGTTTCTTTTCTTGAAGTTAGCCTGACTGAAGGATTGTATGATATTTTTTCATTTTTGTTCTCTGATGTAGATTAAGTTTCAGTTCATATCGATATGGTTGCTATGTTTATTTCTTGAGGACTTCTGGGATATCTCATGTGTAAACACACAGCATCAAGACATTTTTTCCTGAGTTTAATTTTAAATATTCCGTAAGTAAGAGTGTCCAGTTGTATAATAATGTGAAGTATTCCTTGTGTTGCCTCTAGACATGTTGCTGACGTTTTCTCTACCAGTCATTCATCCTTTTTTCTGGTATCCACAAATATACATGAATGCACCCTCGGCTCATAAAGCTACGTATTCAGAATTTTTCGGCATCCACTAATATACATGAATGCACCCTCGGCTCATAAAGCTACGTATTCAGAATTTATGGTTATTTGTTTGTTCAATATTAATATCTATGGTAATCCTATTTGATCTTGCTTTCTGGTTAACTTTTTATCAGTAGTTTTGACTAGGAAATGTTGCATACCTTGGATATTGGGAATAGTTACATATACTGTGTTCATTGATCACATTTTGATTTGCCATCATTCTTTTTAAGTTCAACTCTCTGTTTAGCCTGAAATTTGCTTCAGTTTCCCAATTGATTTAATGTGGAGGAATCATTTGAAGGACATGCTGGTATGTATATTGCTGTCATCGTTATAGTTTGTTTCTGCTGCCCATGGTTTTGCAGAACTCTGTTAATTTTAATTTGTCTTTCCCAGGGTTTACCTTTCCTGATAATTTTACCGATAATTAAGTCATTAGAATTGAAGAATGATTAACTTTAACGTCCATATGTGCAAGAAATTTCGATTGTTTGATGATGACAATAATTGTTAATCGAAAGGCTTATGCAGCCCAGCATGGAATGATGAATTTTTTGGTTCGTTTTTAATTGTTGTAATTTGTATACTGGCAGTGGGTTATTGTCTATGTTGATTACATGCTTGAGTGTTCTTCCGACAAAACTAAGATATGTTGTCTCTTTGGGAGGAGGAAGTGATTGCTTTTATGTTCGGATTAGGGTTTTCTATTAGAAATGAAGTTTGCGTTAGGCGTACATGTTAAGAATTTGGTGAATTTTTGTTCTTTCTGTTGATCTACAGTGGGTTTTGTTTTTGATCTACTAATGTGAGTGTCATAGGTTTATGGACCTATTTGGAGAGTTCTATGTCAATTTCTTTCCTTGATTTAATAGGAAATCATGGGAATATGTGGCTGTGAAAACTTTGTTGCAGTTTCCCTCTGTTTATTTTTCCTTTTTTTAAAAGTTTTTTTTTAACAAGTTTTTTTTTTTAAAAACAAATTGGGATTTGTTTATTCTGTAGAATTTTTAACAAGTGACAAGTCTTTTAATCAAACAACTATGGCTTATGGATATCAAATTCTTTAAACCAAAATGCTGGTTGTTGCATATGTTGTAGCTAGGATAGAGACTTTTGTGTTCTGGCAGTTATTTAACCTTATATAGTGATTGTGTTTACGATATTCTTCCATTTTGCACTTTCAAATGTAATTTATATCTGTTGGTTTGTGGTAAAAACCGTGCCTTTGTGACAACTACTTTGCATTCTAGAGATCAATCGAGAAATAATTCATCTTGTTTTTTTTGTTCCAGTTCATATTGTGATAAGATTGCAATGTGTAATCCCTGAGGTCCACTAGGCTATCGTATGTGCAAGCATTTTAGTAAAGCAATCTGGCCTTGTTATATTTTACCTAGTATTAAAAGTGAACACAAACAGTTATTCTATCCATGAATATGTGGTGTTGGTAGATTTCTGTGAACATTTGTTTCTGCACCATATGTCAAGGGTAATGCTCTGTAATCTTAGTTTCTGGTTAACTTTTGTGTTAGATATCTTGAAATAAAAATTTTGCGTACCTTGCTCATGGGAATGACTTCCGCCATACTGAATTTCTGAATCACCTTTTACTCTGTCTTTCCTTGTTACATTGAACTATGTATTTTAAGAAACATATAATTATACTGTATTAATTTATTTTGATTTCTGTTAACATTTGTTTCTTCACCATATGTCAAGGGTAATGCTCTGTAATCTTAGTTTCTGGTTAACTGTTGCATTAGTTATCTTGGAATAAAAATTGTGTACCTTGTTCACGGGAATGACTTCGCCCATACTGAATTTCTGAATCACCTTTAACTCTTTCAGTTCCTTGTTACATTGAACTATGTTTTTGAAGAAACAAATAATTGTATAATTTTATTTTGATTGAACACTACTTCAGTTTCCTAATTAGTTAGAGAGATGGAATCATTTGCAGAAGCACGTTTGTATAAATTGTTATCAATGTAATTGTTTCGTTGCTGTCAAGGTTATTGCTGCTGATTGTTTCCTGCATAAGTTTGCTAATTTCAAATTGCTCATATTTCTCCTGAATATTTTGTAATTTGAATTCCGAAAAATGTTAGGTTTAAAGTCTTGTGCTGTAAGTTGCAAAGGTTGGTGACAGCACTCTGTTATTGACGTTCATTTATCTTAGTGCCGCTGATATATTTGTGTTTGCTTGGTAGATACACTATGGACAGACCAAGGTTTAGTGATCATCTTGAGGCAATTAAGTTTATCTGCAAGGACTTTTGGTCAGAGCTGTTTAAGAAGCAAATAGACAACCTAAAGACAAATCACAGAGTAAGTTTAGATAAGTGGATACGGTTAAGTCACTTAAAGATGATTGCGTTATAGGGTTTTCTTCTCTGTAGGGTACTTTTGTGCTGCAAGATAACAAGTTCCGCTGGCTAGCTCGTATGTCAATGGATCCGTCCCTGGAAACTTCTGGGTCTATTCAAGATCCTGCAGCTATGGCCGAAAACAAGTCTGCCCAAGCTATCGGCATGCATCTTTACTTTCCATGTGGAATAATCAGGGGATCCCTATCAAACTTGGGCATTCCTTGTGCAGTTTCTGCTGACATATCCAACCTTCCTGCTTGTAAGTCTCTGATGCTTAATGCATTGTTGTCTTTTGGTTTCTTTTCTCTTTGTTTTAATTTGCCGCACTTTCTCTTACCCTCTTATGTGTGATGGACAGGTTCGTTTGTGATACGGATAAAGGCTTAGCTTTGACCAATGTTGAGATTAGCATCAGTTCAACCCTTCGCCTCCAATTAAACATATGCAGTTGTAAGGAATACCTCACTGGAGAAATATTTTCTGCTGTTAAGTATGCGCGGAAAATGTGATTTTCTACATTTGAATGATTTCAACCTTCTATTTTATATCCCTTTTGCCCTGCTATACTGTTGTCTTTTCTGTGTTCAATGTCATTGAACCATGCCATTCCCTGGCTAAGATACTTGAATTATGTGTTCAGCAGAGCATCAAACTCTCCCCTGTTCTTTAGGTAAGTCTGGGTCAAGTTCATCCCTCTCTCTCTCTCTCTCGCTCTCTCATATTTAAGAATTTTTTGTGGCACAGCTAAGAATTTCAAGTGGCTAGGTGTAAAAATTACAGAAATAACTACACCATTTTGGAAATAGTTGCACAAATGAGGAATTTTTCAATATATTCACATATTGCAGCTTCATCATACGTTCAGAGTTCAGACTCGAACTTTATTCCATTATTACATATGGTCTATGCGGTTCTAGCAGGCACTGCTACAATGGTACTGCTTGGCTATGTTCAATAATTTCAAGTCTTATCATAATATACATCATTACGCTAGTGCTACAGTGCTAATACCTACTGTAGTCGAAATTTCACCAGAAAGTTAGTTTATTGACAAGTCCGACAAATAATACAGTATATATCATCACGACCTGGTTCTGATATAGCAGGGCGAGTGTCGATCTTTTCAAAATCACAATCAATTCAGGGATGTGATATGATGATTTCTGAGATTGGAATAGCCGCATGAGGTCTGGTGTCAATATGAAGGTGTTCTCAAGGAAGATGCAGCCAGACCTTCACGTGGAATTTCACCCTGTGAAAGTTTGAAGGATATGTCCAGCAACAGTTAGGGAGGTGAATATGAAAGAGGTAGGAACCAAAGAAAACTCTTTTGATAAGTAACGAAGATGCAATTCGACAACCGCGAATGGATTCGTACTCGTACTGGAACTCCATGATTCTAAGAAACCTGGAGTGTGTTTGAAGCACTTACAGGAGGAGAGTACTTTCCCAAGTACCTCGGCTACTGATACTATACCCGATTATCAACCAAAGGGAGATCGGATTCAGGGTGAGGAAGTTCGTAGAGAAGCTAAAATTAACCAATGAATGAATCAACTGCTTTATGTGGCGTGAAACACGCTGAAGAAACAAGTGCTTGGGTTGAGGGGGAAAAAAAAAGGAAAAAAAAATTATGCAATCGGGGATAACATCAAGGTTACTTAACATGATTTTGAATTTAAACATTGAATCTGGATTTGAGAAAGAATATTTTGTTTAGTAGTGGGCACAGTGCAAATAATACCAAGCATCCGGAGCTCCTAAGTTAGTGAGCTCCAGGGAGGGAGCGTGTAATAGACGCTTAAAAAGTATGTGTCAAGAAGTCAAATTACGTATATAGGGACGCTTCTCTCTCTCCTCATCTTATTTTCCTGTTGTTTTTTTCCCTTCTCTTCTTTTCCTTCTCATCTTATCTTCACGTCTTTTCTAACTATCAATAAAAAAAAGGGATTCGATGTAGATCTAATCTCTAATTCTATTGTTTCTGATTTTTTAAGATGTGCCTTTATGCTATAATTGATTTATCTCTTTAGGTGATTTGGTCTATGTATCTTTAAATCCAATTATTATGTTTTTGTTTATTTCCAGTCTAATTTTTCATATATCAAAATTTGAGATCTCTTGAATCTTTATAGAATCTGAAGTGCAGCGAATCAATTGCACGCAGGTCATCTTCATGCTATTCCGAAATTGATTGATTGTGAAAATAGTACTGGAGTTTTTGCATCATAAATTTGAATGATTCTTTACTTATATATATATATTTTTTTTTTTTCTTTTTTAGCAAACGATCAATTGCTTCAAAAATCTAATTGTTATGAAGTTCTTGTATGACTTGGACATTGTTTTGAAAGTAGCTCGGATCTGACGAAATTCTCCGCCCGTTGAGATTCTTATGTCAGTCTAATTTCCTCCAAAATTCTCACCATTTGGTGAATCTCTGTTAGCTTGAATCCTCTGCCCGTTTGGCGATTTTGATGATATTTCATTTACAAATCAACCTGCACAATAGCTCTGTTATTTTTGTTTCTATATCAATATAGTGTTTTTTTCCCAGTGATTAACAAAAAATGCATGTCAAGATGCACACTATAGTGTTGCAGGATGACCACTGTCCAATACAAAATGAACATTACAGTTCGTGAAATGAACTTGACAGTTTTGAGTGAACTTCAGACATAAGATGCACCTTGAAAGTTTCTCAAGATGAGCAATGACTGCATTAAAATAAATGATAGTTGCTGGAGATGAGTAATATTATAGTTATAAAGGCTTTTTCACATAGAAGGGTGTTTAAATGTAGATGAATATTAATATAGTTTAACATGATGCATATTGTAAATTATTCAGTGAACAACATAATAGATTTCATGAAATTTCAATTTGATACCAAACTGTGCAAACCTTTTTTCATGTGTTTTTGAATTAATTTTGAGATGTTTTACGATTGTGCTTTCTATCTGTTGACTTATGAATTATAAATTTTAAACCAATTAGGCTAACTTAAAAAAAAAAAATTCCCTGCCAACAAAACCAATTAGGCCAGAGGGGTTTAAGCATTTCTAACTTGGTTAGGGCCTAGTTGTTTAGGATTTAGGGTTTAGGGGGGTTTAAGCATTTCTGACTCGGTTAGGGCCTAGTTGTTTAGGGTTTAGGGTTTAAGGGGTTTTAAGCATTTCCGACTCGACTCGGTTAGGCCTAGTTATTTAGGGTGTTGGGTTTATGGGGGTTTAAGCTTTTTTTACTCGGTTAGGGCTTAGTTTGTGCCATACCAAAATAAAAAAATTAAAGAATATGCATTTTTCGTGTCGGTTTAGGGTTTAGGGTTTATGGTTTATGGGGGTTTAAGCATTTCAATAATAGGTTAGGGTCTAATTTCTGCCGGGAAACGATTAATCTTTTAAATTTTTTAAAACCAATTAAGCTAGGGTCTCGTTTATCGGTTTAAAAAAATTTCAACCAAATTAGAAAAAAAAAAAATCGTCTCCGTGTTGGTTTAGATTAGGGTTTCAACCAAATTAGAAAAAAATTAAAAAAATTCATCTCCGTGTCATTTTAGGGTTTAGGGTTTAGGGAAGTTTAAGTATTTTAATTATAGGTTAGGGTCTAGTTTCTGTCGGGAAACGATTAACCTTTTAAATTTTTTTTAAACTAGCCTAAGTGGTTTTAAAAAAATTCTAACCAAATTAAAAAAAATTAAAAAAATTAATCTCCGTGTCGGTTTAGGGTTTAGGGGATTTAAGCAATTTCAATTATAGGTTATGGTCTAATTTCTGCTGGGAAACGATTAATCTTTTAAATTTTTTTAAAAGAATTAGGCTAAACAATACCCTAGCCTAATCGATTTAAAAAAATTTCAACAAAAAAAAAACTTTAACCAGATGAATATTGTGTTTTACAAGTTGAACATTGTAGTTTAACCAGATGAAAATTGTATTTTAGAGGATGAACATTGTAGTTTAACCAGATGAACATTGTGTTTTACAGGATGCAGATGATCTTACATGACTTGTGACAAATAAGGACCATCACTCTAAGATGAACATTGTAGTATAAAAGGATGCATATTTACATTGGTGCAGTGAACAACAGAAGAGTTTAATGAATTTTATACTTTCAAAAGACATTTTAGAGATTGCACCAGGATTCACATTGTTGCTACAAACTTATTGGATGATAAGTCAAAAATTGAAGTCTACTAACAGTGCACACTAGTTGAATTTACATACTTTTTGCCCTATAAATTTTTTACATAAAATCTACTAGGTGTTAGACCTGTCCGATGGACGGGGAGGATATATACATATAGATATTACAATACAAGCAAAGCAAAAAAATTAATAATTTTATAGAATTTTGTATTTTTATAAAATGTATAGTGACTACATTGAAAAATATTAAACACAAAAATCAACCACAATTTACCAAATGAATACAGTGATAATTTATTTAACGCAAAGAAGATTGTTAAGAAATCCAAAAAAAAAAAAATATAAAAAAATTAAAAAGAATGAACATCGAATTGAATGATTATATATAATGTAATACTTCTTTTTAGATTATATTCGCAATTCTGAAATTTACATCTCCATCTTCATCGCATATCAAACCCGTCTGTTGGACGGAGCAAATGAACACATATAGAAAATTTAATATAGCGAAAGTGAAATTATTTTTCATTTTATGATCTTTCCATGAAAAAAAATGATATAAATATGATAATCTGAATAGCTAAACAAAAAAACACAAGTGATATGAATATGATAATACTTTATTTAAAATCAGGTGGAATGTTAAAAACTGAAGAAAAAAAATCGAAAAACATTCAACTTCGAATTGAATAATCACTTGCATTATAATAGTATTGTTATTGATATTACTATCTTAATCACATATGGTTGCCTGGGACTGAGTCCTGGACTGGCAGGTAAAATTCAACAGGAGCATAGAGATTGACATTAACTTTTGTTTTATTGCAATTGCAATACAAATTGCCGAAGAAAATTACATTTTCTTCATTTTAAATAAATATTTAGTATTAGATGGGCAAAGTGACAGTCCAGATATGATACAATATCTCCACATTGCTACCTGATATCACCTTTGCCTGGATTATAGGTTTTCTCAACATCATAACTCAAAATATTATATCATTATATAGTCTAACTTGTTGTCCTCATTTGCGAGCCACGACTGGAGCACCTACTTTGAGTTTTTATTTGATCAGAATTTTTAATACTGATGAGAAAATTAGGTACCATCATTCCTTCTTCGTTATTTATACCGTCTTCTGCTGGATTTCATTATTGTGAATTAATATTATTTTTTCTCTATTATAAACTTTTATTTTATCCCATGTTTTTTATAGTTCATAGATTACAAACATTTCTTATTATATAATTACCAACTAACCCCCGCTTTCAATCCATTATATATATTCTAATTATTTTACCTATTTGTTCATTTATTTAAAGTTTTAGCACTCGCAATATAATATTCTTTTTGCCTTAGTAAAAAAAAAAATACTCATTTACAAAAAAAAAATTAATTTAAAATGTAATGACATGAGTATTTTTTTTTTCTGGATGATCTTATTCAACAATTAATTTAAATTTATCCGTTTCTCATGATTCTCAACAGACACATGGGCACACATAAACATATATAAGTTTCATTCTCAATCATCCTTATATTTGAATTGTTTCGCTCATTTATTCATTTATTTTAAACTTTTTGCACTCACTATGTAATATTTTGTTTTTTGTATTACTATCTTCATAAATTATTATTATAAAATATAATGGTGAATGTTTTTCTACCTTTCTCAAGAATATAATTCAACTCTTGCTTTGACTTTATCCATATCCGATGATTCTCAACACGTAGAGAAACACAAATTAAACACACACATAAGTTTCATTCTCAATTTATTACACCCTCTGTCCAAAAAAATAGTCCATATTAAATTTTTAAATTTGTAATAAAAATAGTACAAACTTTAAACTCAATGTGGATTAATTTTTCTACGGCAGAGGGAGTATATATATATATATATATATTAATTATATATATATATATATATATATATTCTTTTACTTTCAATGTTTTACACACATTGTACAATACTTTCGTTTGCTACTATGTGAAATTTTCCTAGTATATGAAAGAGTAAAAATGTAAATTTACCTTTTCCAGAATTTTTTAATTTAACATGTGACCGTCGATTTTATAGAAAATTTTAAATTAAAATGTGATAGTGGACATTTTTTCCCCTCTTAATATTGGCCTTACCTTAGCTTTAGACATTTTCGATGATCCATGCACACAAGTTTCAATTGAATCTATTATGTTTTCATAGTTCTATTTGTTTTTGCTCATATCTATATAGTACTAGTGATGTCTGGTCGCACAATGCACGACCCTGGCCCAATATATCTGTAGATCTTAGAAATGTTTGTATCTGAAAAAAAAAATATTTTGTATTTGGCTCGATATATTTTAGAAATATTTGAAGAATTTTAGAAATATTTTATAAGTGTGATGTTTGTATTTCGCAAAAAAATAAATTGTATTTGGTCCGGTACGTTTTAGAAATGTTTAAAGATTTTAGAAATATTTTATAAATATTACTTCTTAAATATAAATAAACTTGATCAAATATATGTCTTGAAGTAAATGCTAGACAAAATATAAAAGCATCCTAGTAAGTTTAAATATTAGTAAGATAATTTATTGATGTTCTCCATTGGTTGTGCCAAACAATACTTAGTTTTGGAGATTTATAATAGCTTTGTAGTTAGCTTCCTCCAAAGGGTATACGCTTAATTGTTGGAACTATTTCTTCCAAAAGTTTATAGGTAGTAAAATATCAAAAATATGATTTCG